TGTAAACCTGGTAAATTCTATAGGATAAGTGGCAAGGATTTTGGAAACTTCGGGTTTTTCGAGGGAACTTTTAGGGATTTTTCGCTCGTAATTTTTGAACGTAATGAAATTAGGGGAAGGGACGATTTTTTTAAGGTGGGGAAGAAATTAGGATGATGTCAAAGTTTGTAAACCTGGTAAATTCTATAGGATAAGTGGCAAGGATTTTGGAAACTTCGGGTTTTTCGAGGGAACTTTTAGGGATTTTTCGCTCGTAATTTTTGAACGTAATGAAATTAGGGGAAGGGACGATTTTTTTAAGGTGGGGAAGAAATTAGGATGATGTCAAAGTGTGTAAACCTGAAAATTTGGAGTTTGAAGGGTACAAGAATTTTGGAAAATTTTAATTTTTATAGTGGATTTTTTTTGTAATAGGATTAATGCTACGATTACTGTTCCACTCGTGGAAAATTGAAAATTGTTTTGCAATGAGGCAATTCACGCAGGCCTGGGTAACCTTGTAAAATCCGTTAATTGTGTTAGCAATTACAAATATTTTTAACTTGTACGAATATTTTGGAAGAAAATTAGCTTCCAAATTTACTCAGGTTGAAATTGCATCCCTGTTTAAGTAAGATACTTAATTGTTATTATATGTAAAATATTGTCGGATTTTTTTCCAGTTGAAGTGCTTACCTGCAAAATTCGAAATTTTTATTTTTAAAATTATGATTTTCGACAGAAATCTCCCGTTGAAAAACAAATGCGATTAAAATTTGTAAGATCAAAATGCCCAACAAAAATTGTATGTACAATTCATATATTAATTGTGTTCAAGATGAAATGACGGGGCAACTAAACTAGTAACGTTTTAATTAAGTCCGTATTAAATTGTAAATTCTTTATTACAAATTTTTATAACTTATTCGGATTAAGATCAAACTAGTTAAAGAATTTACATTTCCGGCGGAAACTTATTATTATCGAATAAATATTAAGGGGGATCGTAATTTGCGAAAAGTTTCTAAATTGTTTTGTAAATTGCAATTTATGGAACAATTTGAAGATGAGAGATCCACAATCTATATTTCGCATTATAATTAATCACAAAATTCTAATTTTTTTATCCGGCTGTTAAGTTTAACAGTTTTGACGTGAGTCCGTCCTTATTTTACCGGTGATGAAATTAAGTAAGACTTTACAAGTCAATTCACTCAGGGCTGGGCAACATTGTAAAATCCGTAAAATTACAAAGTTTTACAAATATTTCTGAGCAAAATTAGCGTACAATTTTTTGAAAACTTACTCAGATCAAGGGCGTCTCTTTATTTTGTACAAGTTTGTAAAAAATTTGTATAAAAGTTACAAAGTTACCGATGACTCCTTGAATTGCCTCACTGAAAACCGTGATGAATTTTTTATACGTGACGATTCATGTTTTTTTTGGTGAGATGACTTTTGTAAACGTGGATTGTCAATTTTGTTAGATGATATGAAGAGGATATAATTTTTGTGGGTATAAATCGCTATCTGGACAAAAATGGATACCTGTTATTGTACGTTCTTCACTTTGTAAACCTCGTAAATAGATTAATTAATGAGCTTTTTGCTGTAAAAGGATGTAATTTACATAATTTTTTGTGCGAAAAATAGATGTATTCATTACGAGTTCGCATGTTTCGCATCGCAAAATAATTTTTGAAAAAAAAATTGCGAATTAAATACCAGCCTTGGAGATCTGCAAGTTCTCAAAATGAATTTTCAAGCCAAAAAACTTGCCAAGTTACGAACTTTGTTTGGTTTTTGCTTAATTACAAACGATGCAAATAAATAAATATTTCCTGAAATATGAAAATTTGCAAATTCATGAATATCTAGAATTTTGCTGTCTAGTTTCTGAGAAATACTGTTCACTACGTGATAATTGTTACGACCAAATTTCAGTTCGCAAAATTTATTTGCGAAATTAATCTGTCACTCTGACTCGAAGGACTGGACGTTACCTGCATTGTTAAATAGTAGTTCCCAGCGTTAATTAACAACTCGCCAATATATTGGCAAGTTTGCAATAATTATTGCAATAATTCATTCGCTGAATTCTACCCTTGTCTAAATAATTCTGACAAGTTGACACTTTTTCCCACACGCAACCTGCCTTTTAACTCGGCGATCAGTATCACGACAAAATTATGAAGTTCACAAAGTAATTATGCAGTCGGAGGAGAGACTTGTGCGGAAAAACCTGATTTTACAATTAACCGCAGCCATCACTTTAATTGCGGGGATTTAATGATGATTATCATTAACTTTTAATTGACTTCCTTACATCACTTCTGCATTAAAAAGAACGAGGGAACTAATTGTGGGTGAAAATGGGAGAAAAATTGGATATGTGTACTGCAAGAAATGTGATTTTGTTGGGATAAATTGAAAATTATGTTGGAATGGATTTAATCAAAATTTTAGAAATTTTTAAATCGAAATTTTATTAAATTTTGTAACTTTTAGATAATCAATCTCCTTTTCTCACTCTTGGTTTAAAAAAACTTAAAATTAAATAAATGCGCTGCAAAAAATGTGATTTTGTCCGTTAAAATTTGAATGAATTATTAGATTTAATGGAATTTTTTGAAATTTTAAGTAAACAATTTTAGGAAATTTTAGATTGACATTTTACCGAAATTGGCTTAAGAGACTACTTCAACCTAGATTATTTAAAATTATGCGTAAGTATTCAAAAATCATGAAAATGTCGTGTCAATCTGTCATATTTTGATTTTCTGATCTAAAAATTCCATGAAAATTTATAAAATCTGCATAAAAATAGCAAACGTGAAATTTCTTCTGGTTAAAAAATTACGTTTTTTATTATTACTTTTTTTACTACTTTCTCATTTAAAACGCATTTCGCCTTGCTACTCGTCACCTTTTTTATAATTGGTGCAATAATTTCTTAATGTAACAACAATTAACAATAAATGAATAACTATAATTTGCATTGTTGTCTTATTTACGTTTCCTTGACAACACGGTAATAAATTAGTAAATGAATAATTCGCTTTTATGCGAACGAGCCCATTCGTTGAGAATGTGGTCGATTTTGTGCAAGTTTCTGCGGAATCTGATGTCTAAAATTGACTAAAAAATGGGATTTTTACAGAATCCAGTGTCAAAAATACGACTCCTAAAAATTACGAAAATTTCAAAACCATTTCCCACTATATTTCAATTTTTTCCTAAGTAAATATCTATATTTAGATTACTTATGTCACATTATCAAATTTATAAATTATTTTCACTACTTTTTTCAAAAAAGTAAATAAATGTTGTCAATTCATGCAGACCTTGGTAATTTTTGTAAAATAGTTTTTCAAACTTTTACAAAATTAAGATCTGAATAAATTTACAAAAAAATTGTAAGACAAGTTTCCTTCGGAATATTTCTAAAATTTTGTAAAAGTTTGAAAGTACACGGAATTTACGGGATTTATTATGTTACATGAGGGAATTTACTCAGTATTGGACAAATTTCTGCAACTTGAATTAAATTGTCGAGTTTCGAAAAATATGTCGTATCTTTTTGAAAATTTAGTTGGAGTTTTGCGTCGCTTAATAAATTTTTAAGAAATAACTACATTACAAGTTTATCAGGTCTCATGCATTCGGAATGTGAAGTAGTTGACATTGTTAACTGAATAAAAACTATACAATTTGTAACGTTTCACGTGAGAAATTGTGCAAATTTTATACTTGCCAAAACTGCGGATTTTAAAAAGTCACCAAGGACGACGATAATTGCCATAATATTTGTCAAATTAATTAAATTTACAACTCAACTAAAGTTTTTGAATTAAAAAAATACATAATTATTTTGAAAAATTAGTTAGATTTTAACGCTATCTAGGAAATTATGAAGAGATCAAGAAATTAAAACTTGTACAGGTGAGAGCATCATGTGCATGTAATTGAAAAAAGTTCGGTTTCATTCTATTGTGGAAACTTTTAAAAATTTGACAAATTTTTGTACTCATCAAAGGTACGAATTTTATAAATTTACAAAAGAACTGTGTGAATTGGCTGAATATTCTAAAAAAGTTCGCCCCTAAAATCCATCACATCCCTCTCCCCAGGATCCCATCTCTTCGATAAATATATACAAAAATGCAGTAATCGCGTCAAATTAATTTTACAAAATTACTAAGAACTCCGTGAATTGCATCAATATTAAAAAAAAAATATTTCTTAAAATCGATCACATCCCTCTCACAGGATCCCATAAAAAAATAGAATAATCGCTAAAAAAGCTAAATCATTGATTTAAAATCAGTTTTACAAGGTTACCAAGGACTTCGTGAACTGCCTCAATATTAAAAAAACGACACTACATAAACTCGATTACATCCCATCACTTCAATGAATATTAAAAAATGCCGTAGTCGCGTCAAAGTTAAATTAATTTTACAAAATTACTAAGAACTCCGTGAATTAATTGCTTCAATATTTTTTATAAAATCAATCACATCCCTCTCGCAGGATCCCATCACTTCGATTCATATAAAAAATGCCGTAACCGCGTCCCTGCTAAATTAACAAATAAGTAAAAATTAAATAATGGGTGCCGCAGTTTAATGAATATGCACCACCTCGTAAAATGAAGGTTGGCCATTTAACTGGGTGGCGAATAAAGCAAAACAAACGACGCATTTTAATTTCCATTTTAACTTTCTTTAAGCGTAAATACTTTATTGATTAAAATTTATGTGTCATTATTTCCCCACAATAAAAATGATTTGTTCTTGAATTGTTGTTCTTAAATTCTTGCTAACTTACATAAATATTTCTTATAGCGTGTCGTAAAGTTAATAAAATTACAATAAAAAATTAATGGGATAATTGAGCTCTTGCAAAATTTGCATATTTCTATTCTATCATACGGCTTAAGAATAATAAAATAATGATAAAATAAAATAATTAATATTTTTTGGGTAAGGTGACAGAGAAGATTTATATGTATTTATATGTATTTTTAAAAATAAATAAAGTAGGATTTTTTCTAAAGAAATTTGAATTTCGCGGGTTGGTGTTTGTAACCTTTGTAAAAAGAGAAGGAAGGATATACCTAATTAATCTTTGTAACTTTGCAAAATTACAAATTTTTGAGAGTTGTAATAAAACAAATTATAAATTATAATAGTAAAGAGATTGGCTACTTTTTTAGGGAAATTTTAATTTCGCGTTGTAAATTAAATTGTAATTCGTTACGCACTTGACTTTGTAACCTTTGTAAAAACAGGAATATGTGAATCTTTATAATTTTGTAAAATTACAAATTCCCGAGTGAATTGAGTCGTAATAAAACAAATTAAAAATTACTAAAGTAAAGAATGGCTACTTTTTTTCTGTTATGAAACCTAAATTTCGCGTCTTACATATTGACTTTGTAACCTTTGTAATGTAAAACTAGGTCTTTCCAACTGTTTATAAAGTTACAAATCCCTTCGTGAACTAATAATCAAGATAAAAATTAAAACAAAAACTCCACCCTTGAGCAATCCCTCCCTAAAATTACACAGGTCTCCCTGAAAACAACGCCGCGTACGGATTATTACTCCCATGCTGTCCCGGATAATACCCGCCTGGCGGGAATGGACTCAGCATACCCGGATGCCCTCCTCCCCCCTTTCCCCCATGAAACTGCGGTGGAAAAGCGGACCTCATCTGTTGCTGCATCTGCTGCATCGCCGCCATCGCGAAAGAAGACGGTCCCCCCGCGCCCGGCGGAAATCCAGCCCCTTGCGCTTGCGCCAACTGCATCTGCAGCAACGCGGGATGATACCCACCTCCCCCACCACCCCCCGCGTACAGCGACGTCGCCGCCAAATGTTGCTGCAGCGCCACCGCGCTCGCCGAACTTTCCGCCGCGGCGGCGGCGGCCGCCGCATTCGCCGCGCTGGTATGCGAACGCAAATGCGTGAGCAACTCTTCCGACGTAGAATACCGTTTCCCACAATAATTATCGGCTACAATCCAATTACAAATGTGCGGTTGATTTGAAGAGGAACTCGTCGGCGGGTAAAATTGGGGGTGATGGTAGCCCACAATTTTCTGATGGTCGCACGACGCACAACCCGCCGGACAGATTAGGGGCGGGGGAATGGGGGGAGATTGTGCACTGCATCCGGTACAGTAGGGGTCCTTACATTCTTGCGAGGTCGGCACCTTTCCAGACGCCGAGGTCACGACGGGAGGTGCCGGTCGGTAGTAGGGCGACGCGTAAGCTTGCTGTGGTGGGGGTGGATATCCGCCATACGGCGGGAAACGGAGGTCACGGAAGGCAGGGTTTAGCAGAAACATGGCTGCCGTGGCGGGATCTAGGGAGCCAGGAGGTGGAGATGGATAATAGTACCCGCCCCCAGGACCACCGGGTATCAGGGCGGGCGGGTAGCGATGCCCACCCTGCAGAACTTCCATGCCCGACCGGATCGTGGGTGTGGGCGAGTGCTGCATCGGGACGGAGGTGGACGTGGATTCATGTTCTGAGGAGGAAGAAGAATTTGATGACGACGTGATCGGTGGGGTGGTCGTTAGCCGGGCGGATTTATGGGAGGAAGAATTCGGAGGAATTGGGGAAATCGTGGTGGCCGCGGAGTTATTTGAGGAGGAAGAGTGGGGCCGTTTTTGTGACGAGGATTTTGAACTTGGCGGGGGCGGTGGGGTTGGTTTTGGGGATGGTGTCGCGGCATGTTTGGTTGGCGGTGTTTTTGTGGTGGAATGGCGACCCGGGGTGGTGTTTCGGTAGGCGGATTTGGTATTGTTGTGGGGGTGGAGGAGGGAGTTGTTGTTGTTGGTTTCGGGCGGGGTGGTGGAGGTGGTGGTCGTGGGGGGCGATTTTGTGGGGTGATGGTTCTTGGCGGAGTGCGACTTGGAGGTGGGGGGTGTGGTGGAAGATGCGGGGTGAGGGTCGGATCCGATTTGCGAACAGGTTTGGACCAGCATGGCGAGCGGGGATTTTTTGGAGTCGAGCTGGAATAGAAAGAAGGGAATTTTTAGTGAATTGTTTTGGTGAAAATTGGGAATTTTTTGCAAATTGTTTTGCACATTAGAGAAAGAGACCTGGGAAATTTTATTAAATTGTTGGTGGAAATTGGAAAGTTTTTGTAAATTGCGTATTCTTATTAGTGAGAAAATTTGAAAACTTTACATTAAATTGTAAATCTATAGTAAATTGTTCTTGGAAATTGTGAAATTTTGTATATTATGTTTCTTATGAGAGAGAGAAAATTGAGAAATTTTAGTAAAATGTTTTTTGGCGAAGGGAGTTTCGTTGGATAAGGAGTGAATTTAAGACGGGGTAGAAAATAAAGACATTTTATTTTATTTTTCCACTGGTAGAATTTCGATTGAAAATTAAGTTTTTCTCAGAATGTAGAATTTTATTGGATAAAATATGAAAATTGGAAACAGTTTGTAAGAGATAAATGTCTTAAAGAGGAAAATGTTATTTCATTGAATGATCGGGGAATTTTTGTAGGTAATAAAATTGCAAAAATATAAATGTCTTAAAGAAGACGTAGAAAAAATAGGTTTTATATTTGTTACGAACAAAATTAGAAACAAGATTTTGTTAAAAAGATGGATTTATTTCTGTAAGAATTTTATTTAAAAATTGGGAATTATTTTGAAAAGGTGGAAATTAAAGTAAACTGTTATTCAATAAAATACCGAAATGGGAAATAAGAAATATTTTTTATTAAATTTTTCCCAGAATTTAAAAGTTAAGGGCAACAAGCTAAATGAAAATTCTTTAAAAAGAACGACGTAAAAATACCAAGATAGCTTTCTTGCAGGATAAAATTTTGTTCCAAAATTGTGAATTATTTTTAAAAAGTAAGAAAAACGAAATAAAAAATAGATTAAAAAAATAGAATGAGAACTTCTACCACAAATTATAAATCTAATAAAATTAGCCAGATAAAGATTTTGTTTAAAACGACGTAAAAGTATTACGATAACTTTCCTAAACAAAAAATTTCATTTCAAAATTGTTAATAATTTTGGAAAAGTAAAAGAAAGAACGAGATATAAAATAGAATTTTAGTGAAAAATTTCATAATTTATTTTTAAAAAGGACGACTATTTAAAAAAACGAATTTTGAACATAAAATTACCGTTGTTGGAGAGAGATGGTCGGGTTGTAGGTATTGGTGGGCGTGGTGGTGATGATTTCCAGCAGAACTTCCCATCGTGTGGGCGTGACTTTCCAGAACAACCATAATTTCGATTTATTACTGGAAAAACTTTTATTTCCTCAAAAAAGAATGGATCGTTTGAAGTTTTAGCTTTTATTTAATCGAAGAAAAAGTCACTTAATAAACTGAAAACCCAGTTATTCACAGAACAGAATTTCAGTTTTTAACGAATTTTATGAAGAAAACTTAAAAATCTTGAAATCCAGTTAGTTTTCACGATCCAATCCAAAAATCCACTCTTCTTTGTTTTCGAACTTGATAAAACTCGCAATTTGTTCTCAAATTTCCATAAAAACAATTTTTTAGATGGAAAAGTCTTCTCTTTTCGTTTACACCAAAAACTTTTCCAAGTTTTCAACTTAGTCACTCGACTGGAGTAGAAGGATTACACAATTTCTCCCTCAAAATCGTCACTTTAACCTCAAAAAACTGCCCAAAATCGTTTCAAAATTCACTCCAAACGTTCCAAAAATCACTCCAAATTTCCTTAGAAAACACCTCCTCAACTTTTCCAGTAGGATAACCCCACCAATTTTTTCATATCGTAACTTTTCTCCTCGGAAAACAAGCTTTTATCCCAGAAAATGGTAAAACTTTGCTCTTTTTCTCTTTGCTCAGAGCGACGCAGACACTTGTTTCCAGTTGGAGAGGCAAGGGGAGACTGGTTCGTTTTTGGTGAGAGCGACCAAAGGAAGATAAATCACAAAAAGCGATCCTTCTTCTTCTACTTCTTTGTGTGGTGGAAAATTGTATCCTGTGCTGTGCTGCATGCAGGAATAATGCTGCAGCTATATTTTATGGTTCGAGTTGCCTCCTGCATCTGCATGTTCGAGTCATCCATCATTCTCTTAATATTCTCTTAAGCTCGTTTCGTCCAGACTGGATGCAAAGTAAAGTGCAGGGTGCTGCGGACGTGTAATTATTATGGGAGTTTCTTTGACAGAAGGACAGCCTTTGAGTGAAGTGGGAGAAATACACGCTTAATAATAAGGGGGGAAATGGGAGGGGGGGGGGACGGGAATCAGAAATTTTGAAAAAAATATCGAACTTTTTAAAGAGAGGAATATTTTATGTAGTAAAGATTCAAACAATTCACGCAGTTCTTCGGTACCTTTGTAAACTGCACAAGTTTTGTAAAATATTTGGCAAACTTGTACAAAATTGAAGACTCCAGTAGGGGATGGAATGGGGGGAATTTGGGTGGGGAAAAATAATAATTTTGGAAAAAAGTGAGAAGTTTTGAAAAAAATATTTTAAGCTTTTTATAGAGAGGAGTATTTTATTCAGTAACAAAAAATTGAGGCAATTCACGCAGTTCTTTGGCAACTTTGTTAAATGCATATAGTTTTGTAAAATATTTGGCAAACTTGTACAAAATAAAAGACGCTATTGATTTGAGGAAACTTATAAAATTTGGGCTAATTTTCCTCAGAAATACATACTTGCAAATTTTTTTAAAAGTTTGTAAGTTTACGCATTTTATAAAGTTACCAAGAACTGCGACGAAACTGTACTGTTACTAAATACTTATATTTAGTAGCCAAATTGTTACCGAGATTTAGAATTTATTTAGCTACAAAATTAAATAAATGTACAACTAAGGCGACGAAATACAAATAAACAGATTTCTTACTTCAATGGTTAGAAAGGTAGGTGACGTAGACAAATTTCATTCGTAACAATTAAACGAATACTAATTTCTAACTAAATTTAAATTTCCTGGAAACTTCCAAATTTTGTATAAAAAAAATAAGTAAATAAATAAGAGTTTAAATAAAATTTGACAACTTGAAGCACTCAAAATTTTACAATTTAATTCCCACATTATTAAGAGTATATTTAAAAACCAAAATTAATTTCTAGCCAAATTTAAATTTCTTGGAAACCTCTAAAAATTTTGTGCCAAAACCGTAAAAAAATGAATTAGACTTTAAACAAAATTTCACATCTCAAACACAACTTTACAAAATTTTATTCCTGCAGTATTAAGAGTGTAAAAGCCTTTCAGTCCACATAAGCCGTACGGACTACTTATGTGGCAGCCTTATTAAGGGCTCTCCACCCTGATTACAAGGGTATCATCCCTCAGCCTACGTACTTATTTATCGTGATTATTTTAACATGCACCTTCACATCCAAGAAGTTAAAAGTCTGCCTCAATTCCTGTCATTACATAAAATTTTTGGGTAAAATTTGGCCTAAATTAAATACATTGTTTGCTGCTTTTTTGGTTAGTGTGGGTGTGGCGGGTAATTTAAAATTTTTAAATATTTTGCACTTTATATAGTTACATAGGTTAGGGGATTGAGAGGATCGGCACTTTAGTCCGCCGGCTCCAATAAATTTAATGGATGGGTCGTAAAAGTTATGAAATAATAAAATTTATAACTATTTACTGCTCTTGATGAGTGGTCTGGTCTCTGGTCTCCAGTCGAGGCGTCTCGGTGAGAGGGGAGACGTGCAGGATGGATGTGGGATGAGGTCAAAGGTCAAAGTTGGGGGAAATGTGGGGAGAGGTTGGGAAAAATGGGGGAAGGAATTGGTAGAAATGTGGGAGAAACTGGTAAAGAATGGGGCAAAATTGTTGTAAAAATTTGGTAAAAATTTGATCAAGATGTGCGGTAAAAATTTACCGAAAATTGACCTCGAGCTTTATATAAGGTGGTCAAAATTTGGTCAAAATTTGGTCAAAGTGTGATAAGAAAAATGAGGTACCAATTTGCCAAAAATTGACCACGTGCTTTTTACAAGGTGGCCCAAATGTTGCCAAATTTTAATTAAAATGTTTGGTAAAAATTTACTGAAAATTTACCACGTGCTTTTTGCAACGTGGTCCAAATGTTTTCAAAATTTTGTCAAAATTTGATCAAAGTGTGGTTTAAAAAATGAGATAAAAATTTACCAAAAAATTTACCACATGCTTCTTGCACGGGTTCACAATTAAGTTAAATATCCCTAAAAGAAGTATAGCATTTTCCAGTTTTTGGGCAGAAAGGCTGACTCCTTCAATTTTATTTTAGTCAGGTTATGTATGATTTCCTCTAAAATTAGAAATTAGACTGGAGACGAAAAGAAATTATGTAGTTACTTAAATATCTTAATTATTTATGAGAATCGTGATTAGGATAAGAGTTGAGGTTTCATTTAACTGACGTGATCATCATCGCCTTGCGTAATTAAGTATTTATGTATTTTAATACATACATATTTAGCTAAATGTCATGCTAGGAGTTAATTTATGTGTGATTATATTTAGGAAAGTTTTGGATAATTGCGGATTTTTTGGAGATACGATTCATTCTCATACGTATTTTGAGGAGACCTTGGATTTGGTTTGGGTATACATGCATAAAAGTGTCAATTCAGAACCCAGTAAATTCTGGAAAGTTGCAAATAATTTATGTGCAACTTTACTTTATGTGCAATATGTTAATAATAAGTTTGAGTAGGAAAATTACAGAGGTTACAAATATATCGTATAAATTAAAAAAAACATGTCAAAATTATAATAATTTTACCTTAGTTTCGAAAATGGTATTTTGAAATAGCTTATTTTTTAGGTAAAATAAAAATACTACACAAAATTTGCGAAATGATTAAAATAATTATATCCAATTTATTTTTTCCAAATAAGAAATATTGAATCTGTGAAGTTTTATTTTAGATTAAAATCTACATACATTTTCGAAATGGCGTAGAAGTTATTAATTTTTCAATTTTCAAAAAAGTGGGACAGAAATTAAATGTGTGTAGGTCGAAAATATATGAATATGATCTTCTTGTTTAAAATATTTTGAATTAACTTGTCTTTATTTTATTAAAGCTGCTGCACAATAATTTTATAAAACTTAGGAAATTTAAATACTTTAAAGTTACTTATTACTTTACTTGCTTTAACTTAACTTTACTTACTTATTACTTACAAGTTATTTATCTGTTAGCTATTAATGAGAGTAAAAATACAGAAAAATTCCCAAAATGGCGTAGAAAGAAATCAGATAGATTTTTCACTACAAAATTTTTCCAATTGTTAAAAAAAATTGTTCAAACATTAAATTTAGTTAGTTAAACCTGCTGCAAAATAATTTTAGAAAGTTTACGAAACTCCCAACTGCCTTTCGTTTATATCTGTTAACTTTTAACGGAGTAAAAATATACAGAAATTCCCGAAATGGAGTAGAAATAAACTTGATAAATTTTTCATTACATAATTTTAACAAATTCTCTTGAAAGAATTGGTTTAGAAATTAAATTTAGTTCGAAAATATGTAAATATGCCCTTCCTATTTCTCTAAATGCATAAAATTTGCATTTACATTTAAATTTATGATTATTTTGTTAAACCAGCTGCACAATAATTTTACAAATTTGGGGACGCGGTCAACATATCTGCGAACTATGAAGTAAAGTAAAATATGGAGAAATTGTCCAAATGGCGTACAAACCTGATAAAGTTTTCACCCCAAAATTTCCAAAATTAAATTCAACTAAAATTCGTACAAAAAAAGACATTCCTCAAAATTAACAAATTTCATCCTATATATTTAACCTGGAAGCATTATGTTTTATTTTGTAAAATTTGTACAAAAAGTATTTTATCTTGTGTATTACACAATTTACAAATAATCGACCTAAGTAAATTGCGAATCAAATTTCTCATGATATTTTATCTTTGCTGGTAGGTTTCATTTTTGGTAAAATAAAATGTACAGAAATTTTAGAATTTAGAAACGACGGACTTTTTTAATTCCTCGATTTTTAGCTTGATCTGCTTACTCAAAAAACTAAGCCAGAATTTAAATGGGAAAATTAAACAAAATAAATAATCTCGAAAATTTTGTGGGGCCTCAAAACGTCGAAACTCTTTGAAAAATTTGGAGAAAAATTACATGAATTGCACACGTCTTCCTTCTTTTTTTACATTTCGTTTCAAAAAATTTAGGTCGAAAATTTAAACAAAATAATTTTGAGATCGGTCAAAAGGTCAGACTTCGTTGAAAACTTGGGAGCAAAATTACATGAATTACATGTTTTCCGTCTTGTTTACATTCCATTTAGTCCAGCGAAGCGATGTGATGACGGGGACTGATTGACAGATTTTATTTTTTTGTAGAGGATTCCGTATTATTGTGGATTTAAGAGATTTGTTTGACACGACTGTTGATCTCAGAGAGAGATGCGTTATTCCGTTTTATGTATTTGTGTTTTGCTCTTGTCGTCGTTACAGAATTTTTGGTGGGTTTTTGTTTGACGTCTTATTTGTCCAGGCTCACACGATAAGAAATGTAGCTCTGTTAGATATTCCAAGATATATTTTGTCGTATGGTCCAGGCTGTGTCCACAGGCTGCGCGACGTGATAGGTATGAAATGATGATAACAAGTTTCCTGCCTGGATGATGAGGGGCAAAGATAAATTATGTTGCAGGATTTTATCCAAGGGTCAGGTCAGATTTTTAACTTGATAGTGAGGCAATTGGCGTCAGCCTTTGTAAACTTGCCAAAAACATGCCCTTTATCTTACCTTATCTTATCTTAAGTTCGTATGCAAAAATTGCTTTCGAAATGTTCCCAAGTTTGGCCAAAAAATTCGTAAGTTTACGCGGTTACAGACTTATGTATGAAGGTTGACGTGAATTGCCTCAAATGTATGTAAACGCTACCCACTTGACCCAATTAATCTAAATTTGTTCCAACCTTTGCATGAATTGCCTCAAAAAGAAACTGGACGATTGGAAAGGTTCAAACTTACAATATGAAGGTCCCCCAGTTTTGGAATAGAATTTTGGAATCAAGTTTGAAATTTGAAAATTTTGGATTTCCTGGATAATTATTGGTAAAAAATAGTTATCGAAGAAATTACCAAAATTGTGACCTATGTATGTTCACCGATTTTGGCCAAATTAGTGTCAATCGATAATAAATTTAATTAGTATGAAATTTGCAAAGGACACGATCTCCATATTGGCACGTTTGGCCGAGATATTTGCGTCCGAAGAGGAGAAAACGAGCTGTAAGTTTGACAAGTACAAAATTTACTCAGTTTATGCGCCCCATCTGAGAATTGGGAGATGGTGTCGTTTGAAAATTTAACGTTAATTAGATTGATATTAATTTGGCCAAAATTTGAGAAAGCCTATATTGTCATGTAGATGTGCACATTAAAAAAACACATTAACAAAAAAAATCTTAACCCCGAATGCAACATTATCCCTCAATCCGTCTAATCTTAATTGATAATAACGTCCCATTTTATTAAATAATTCATTTTTGGCGTCAAGCGCGTCCTAAAATTGACAAATTGCACACTTTCCAACTTAACTGCACATTTTCTCCTCTTCTGATGCAAATATCTCTGCTAAACGTGCCCATTGGGAGATCGTGTCTTTTGCAAATGTCATGCTAATTAAATTTGTGTGATCGATTGACACTAGTTTGTTTATATAATTGGAGGAAATATAACGTAAAAATAATGTAACATTCTTGCCGAAGTGCGTCTTCCATACATCCGGAATTTTAGGGATACAATTTATGTGTACATATATTTTATTTAAATTGGACTTTCTATTGTCTAAGGAGTCGTAGAGGTCAAATTAAAGGTTAAAATTCCCTTAAAATCATGGTCACGCGCTTAAAAAATCGATACTTTGTGATAGTAAACTTACCACAAAAAATGCCACATTTCATTACGAAAGTTCCCACTTGAATAAATAGAATTTTCGTAATTTTTAAGGTCAATTAAACCATCCATGGGTCACATAACAGGTCAAAAATGGAGGTCATGAAGTACCTAAAAAAACATAGGGATTTTTTTCAAAAATTTGGGATGTTTTTTTTCAATAAAATGTGCCACATTTAATTACGAAAGTTCCCACTTGGATTAATAGGATCAGTCTGATTTTAAGGTCAATTAAGGCATCCCTGGATCACATAAAGGTCAAAAATGGAGGTCTCATCCTTTCTGAACGATCCCCCTTCATACGACACGCCATGACCAACTATTTACTTATTTATTTATTTATAACGCCGAAATATTTATATTTATGACTTGATTGATGAGATTTGTTCTCCTTTTTTTATTATTTATTGTATTCCGCGAGAGATAAAAAGTGAAACAAGCCATAATAAAATTTGCATTGCAATTCGTTATCAAAATTCGGAGAATTTATTTACGTGGTGGAAAATATTTTTGTAAAATGGAAAATCGTAGACGCAGCGTAGCGTAGACGCTGGGTGCAATTTTGGTTAAGTAGAAAGACAAATATTTGTGTAAAGTTTGCAATTTTTGGGAGGAGAGGAAACGTCAAATTTTAGGTTGGATAGAAAGAAAGAGAGAAAAAAATGATTGATTGATTCGTATCATCCGTTTTTGATAACGATACGATTTTGATTGATGGATTGATTGATTGATTGACTTTTGTAATCTGATCAATATTTACTCAGCCTTAATGCGAGGTAGGTTTGTTCGCGTTCAGTTTTTCAGGGAAGGAAAGAGAACCCACGTAAATTGCGGGGGTGGGGGCTGTGCGGGAAGGATGTGTTGGGATTTTTTGGGATGCGGGGGAATTTTAGGGGGGGGAGGGGAGAGAAATTCGGGTTAAATTCGGTTTATAAGGGGGAGAAATATTATCTTCTAGGGGGAAACTTCACGTTAAATGCGGTTTAAAGGAAAAGAAATTCGTTTTTTGGAGGAAGAAATTTAGGTTAAATCCAGTTTATAGGAAATTCGGCTTTTAGGGGGGAAAATTCGGTATTTAACAGAGGGAAAAATCGAGATAGTGGTTTATAGGGGGAAAATTCGGTTGTTTTTAATGGAAGGAATTCGGGTTTAATTTGATTTATAAGGGGAGTAGAAATTCCATTTTTATAGATGAAAAACTTCGGTTTTTTAGAGAAAGAATGCGGTTCTCATGCGGTGGCAAAAATTTGTGAAATACTGTATGCACAGCCCCCATTTTATTGGCGTCACGACACATCCGGTGAATTGATAAAGATATAAAATTTTTGGAGTGAATTTAGCATATTTTTGCAAATCTGAGAGTACATTCTCCAA